AAAAAAATCGAGAATCGAATCGAATCGAGAGCTTGCGTATCGAAATTGAATCGAAACATCTGAATCGATACCCAGCCCTATACCTAAATGCGTCTATCTTTGCACGAATCATTCGTGATCCAGCTTCACCTGCAGAACAAGTGAGTGTAAGGTTTTTTAATGAATCTTTGCAAATCGCCTTTCCTAATAACATGCTAGTTAGCAAGTTTCACGATGAATGCGGCTAAAGTTTACCATCTCTCAGAGAGCAGCATGGAAGAGAGGGGCGGGGTGAGCATATCTCATTTGCATTTAAAGCGACATGCAATAAAACAGATTGCTGTGGACAGAGCTGTTTCTGACAGGTTAAAAACGGTATTGTTTTACACTACCATTGAGAAATTAACCAAACTATGTTACAGACTTTTCATTAAGACCCTAAAGAATCATATCAACTTGTGGAAAATGGGCACCCGATGACCCCTTTAAGTTGAAGACTTTATATTACTGCATGTCTACAGTCTGAGAACTTAAGACTGCTTGAAAAGAAGTACGGCAGATCAGCTTCCTTGAGTCCTGCAGCAGGTGAAGTATGCCAAAGGTATAGACCTGAATATTGAAAATAAAATCCCACTTGATTGTTAAAGGAAATCCAGAATCTCATGGCAGGCTAGGAACCTACATGTTCCAGTTTGTCATGAGATGCTGAACAATCTGATTTTCTGAAATTAGCTGATTTTCTGATACCTTCAGGCAAGTTAGAACAATCTTAAACTTTAAAGTCTCCTTCCAGTTAATACATTTAGAGTAAGGCTGTGCAATTGGATGGTTGCTTATTGTCTACCTGCCTTCTTCATGACTGTTTCACACTCTCTGAACAAGAACAAATGTAGCATTGAAAGAGCAAAAGCTTAAACATGCACATAATAGAACTGAAGCATAAGTTGATACATTATTCATAAGAAAAACATGTTTGGTGCCAACTCCCACAAAACCCTGTGATAAAACATACATTGACACACAATCAGAATGTCTGGGACTTTGTAGCTAAATCTTAAATTAATGTTACAAAGAAAGACATAAAAATGAGAACAGTATTCATCAGATAATCAACATTTGTATGAGTTTTATAAAAAAAATAGTATATCCAATAACATAAGGATTTTCACATATGCAGAATGACAGAATCACCAGATTCAACCTTTACCTTTTGAGATTAGATCCTTGGTCAATTATAGACTGAATATGACTTGACCTCTCACTCTGCCCATTATCAAAAACTGACGGGCTATCTTAAATGCAGATCTCCCTCGGGTCCTTAAAAACTCCTAAAGTGAGTTGTATCAAACTTAAGGCCATAAAAAGTTTTAAATACGTCAAATGGTATAAGAAATGTCTTAATTATAATTTCATGAGGTCTTACAGTTGGGGACGGAAAGACAAGAGTCGCGATACGGCTGGATTAAACTTCAAAAGGCAATGATGTCATTGAATAAATATGAGCGCTGCACGTTTCAAGTCAAAACGCGGCGCGGATGTCTTTATTTGAACGCATCTGAAGGGAACCGACAGTCCTCAGAAATGTGTCGTTGGCATTTTAATTTCATTTGACCTATAATTCCTGATAAAGCAGCTTTTATGAGCACGGAGCTGCTTTGTGTACAGCCGTTACCGGGCAATATTTCAGCGCTCCTAAAGCACCACCTCGTGGCAGAGAATGAATTTGCATTTCCAATAAGCCTTTCTGGCTGTTTATGGTCAGATCAATGCAAATATCAACTCATGTTTTTACGCAGCAAACAGAGTTGTAAATGAGAAAGAAGTTAATGTGCCTTCTAAAAATCTAAACAATTAAGACAGTAAAATGTATACGTTTTAAATTGACAATTTATATGCTTGATTTATCCCTTTTCATAAAAATGGTCTAAAGGCTGAAATGCTGTTGTATAAGATTTTTGTGAAAACCTGTATCTGAACTGTAAATCAAAATTAATTTTCGGACTACCAAAATCTGAAGAGTACCTGCCCGAAGGGCTACCAGGGATTTTGAAATTTTGCGAGCCCTGAGACTGCTATTCAGACCCACACAAAATTTGCAGCCATAGAACTCCTCAGAAAGCTCTTTATAGTTCTGCAGAAATTAATCACTATTCATTCACAAAGTGACTGGATTATAGTATAAAAATATTTATAATAGTTTAACACATTTTACTATGTTTAAAACTTCTGCAGTGTTCCATATTTTCCCCCAAAAACAATGCAATATGCAAAACCAGCCTGCAGAATACATGCTGTATAGTAGGGCTGTCAAAATGGCTGAAAAACTCAACAGAATTTTTTACTTAAATATTATCAAAATTCAAATTATATTCGAATTTAAAATGCATAATTTCAGTTAGGGTGAAGAAAAGATTTTGGCTTCTCTCCTGAGGCCACAAGAGGGCGCATCGAGCAAAATATTACTAACGCGCGTTTATTCAAAGCATAAGATAACAAGACTATCTGTGAAAAAGTGCATAATGTTTAAAATAATGTTTATAAACCAATTATAATTAATTCTCCGCATTAATGTTCTCTTTTCCCGCAATATTTGTAATTAACAATGCAGCAGCGCCTCATCTAGTGGATAGGCTAACAAAAACATTAAAATGCAATGACACTTACATCGTCATCGCATCTTGTGCGCCACTGATAAGGCTGCCTCCTTAACGCACACATAAAATTGTGGATTTTTATTTTAAATTCGACGAATATTCGAAAAAAATTTGACAGCCCTACTGTATAGGTCCACTAAAAAAAAAACAGCATCCTTATAAATGTATGAAATAAATGCTCATATTTAAAATAGAAATCAAATTTACCTTGCTGCTTGGAAGCTCTGAACTAAGTCATCTAATAATCTGTTGTTCCTCAGGTCCTGTTCTGTTGATGGCTGCAAAGAGAGATTAAGATTAATGGAAAGTGTCCTAAACTCTAAACCTAATAACTTCATTAAACTGCAATAACAGCAATGTGTATATGTAGAAGCCAGGAGTTAAGGCAAGGCAAGTTTATTTATATAGCACATTTCATACACAATGGTAATTCAAAGTGCTTTACATAAAAGAAGTGACAAAATAATAAAAAAATAATCACAACAATAAAACAAGGAATTTAAAACTTTGAAAATGATTTAAAAATTGATTTAAGAGGTTAAAATGAATTTAAAACAGTTAAGAATAGAAAA